TCACAGCGTGTCGCAGCCAAAACACGGAGTCTGCGGGTGGCTGAAGTGCCGGTGTTGGAGCAGGGCCTGGAGCACAGGTGAGTCACAGCTCAGTGCACCTCTGGATTCAGTAGGCCAAGCACAGGCAGGGAAACAGCCTGCTAGGCAGCCTTTCCTCTGCCCACATACTCTTGAGATACATGAGCAGAATAGTTATCAGGGGCCAAAATATACTTGTCAAAGGGATTGAAACCAATGTAGCCGAGGCCTGCAGTAGCCAAGATTCCCAGATGGAGCAGTGGACAGTCAGGGGCTCTGCTGGTAGTGTGTGTGCAGCACATACTGCTCAGGCTTTAGTGCAGGCCTTAGAAGCTGGCCCTGTGCTTCAACAGGTCTGTGCTTCTCAGTGACAGTGTCCTCCTCTTGTCTTGCCCATGCTCCCACCAATGGGAGGTACAGCAGATGGATGGAAGGTTGTGCTGGAGARCCCACAGCCAGGAGGGACTGCTGTGCACAAAACCTGAGAGCAGCTGGTGAGTCACACTGTGCCCCATCGCAGTGGCTTTGCTGTCACTTCACTGTCCTGAGGTGGAAGTCACTCTCTGGGCAGGGCTGTTACATGGGTGGGCTGGAGGAACATGCTGCCRTGTAGAAATTTCAGTTCTATTGGCCAGTGATCAGGGGCCTAAATTATACACCATGTGTGCACACAGTGACTTGTCAGAGAAGGCAGTCTTCCTCTTTACATATGCTCTGTCTCTTCGGTGGTTAATCCTTATCCCTTGGAGATCGAGAAGTTCTGTGCAAGAGATGACTTTATAAAGTCAAAAGAGATGCTGATGGACAGAACAACACACAGGAATGATGGATAAGGGGCTGTTGTTCTCACAGCTTCGTTACAATCTACTGCATGTTGTGGGGAAATCCCTTTTGCTTCAAGCTTTGTCCTTCTATTCTTTTATTCTATGTAATTATTCTAAACAATTCACTCAAAGCAAGAAGAAACAATTACTAGATCTGTGGTAGTGATATGGGGGGGCTCAGCTTGATACCATTCTCAGCAAGGGCAGAGGTTTGTTTAGCTGCAAATAAAGAGAGAAGCCATGGAAAGACTCCGCAAATGAGAAAGGGTTCAAACCCCTTGGAGGCTTAGAAATCACTCAGCATAGAACACTGGGCTGTAATTAGGAAAGGGAAATCACCAGCTGAACATTACAGAGTTCTTGCTGTCCATGAGATGTGTTGAACAGTTCAGGATTTGCCTAGGGGAGAGTAATGGAAAGGTCACACAAGCCAGGAGAATGAAATSTAAAAAACTTCCCTTTAGGAAGAAATGCAGCGTGAACTGGCTGACCTGTCTCCCTTTTCAACACCATCTTCTGAGACGGATGGGAATTAACTGCTTGTGTTTTTTTTCTTTATTTTTTTAATTGCTGGTCAAGGCTGACCCAAGAAGTTGGCAAAGAAATCGGTGAATTTAGGGAATTGTTTTTTTCTTTTAATAGCAGCACATCTGTGCTGTCCAGTAACTYTGACCTCTTTGTAAAACTTTGCTGTGTTTACAGGAAGAGGCATTGGTCACTCTCARCCCTGGGCGCAGAATTTGAGCTCTCATAGTTTATAGGAGAGACTGGATGTTTAAGAACACTTGACCTAAATAATCTTTCACATTCATGGCAAATTTGAAGCTGACCTTTAAATGGAGCGATTTGGCTCAAGGTTTTTCTTTCCTCCATTTCCTCCAGACGGTCACATCTACGTATTTCAGTTAAAAATACCTTCCCTTCTTATGGCATTTGTGTTCCCATCAGTTGCAAGATTTTTAGCATTTAAGATTTTTGTAAAATCATAGAATGATTTATGTTGGAAAGGCCCTTCAAAATCATTSACTCCAACCATTCCCCCACAATTGCAAAGCCCACCACTGAACTGTGACCCCAGTGCCACATATGCATGTCTTTTCTATCCCCTTAGGAACTGAATATTAATCCTGTGTAATTCAGATGAAAATGATATCAAGAGTGACGTACACTCCAATTGATGTCTGACCTTCTGAGAGTATTTCTTGAGGAAATWCTGTTCTCATGCTGTTCAATGAAAGCTTGCTATATGTGTGTGTAAGGGTCTGCTTACACATGCTGGCATGTGCACTCWTGCTGTTTGAAAAGGGCTGGTTGGTTTTGCAAAGAATTTATGAAATTGTGGCTTTTTGTTACTTTGTGCATGTGCACAACGATGCTGAGTGAATCAGTGCAAGACTAGGAAAAAAAACTTTTCAGAAATGCTTTCTAACAATAAAAAATGTTGATTTTGCAAATTGGTCTTGTTTTCAAAAGACAAAACCAATGCAGATCCAGCCCCACAGCAGCAATGCATAAAACTGGGTACAAGTCCTACAGAAGGCAGCAAAACGAAGTGGTAYAGACAGACATGGTTTTAGTTATGTAAAAACACACAGATAAAGTGGCAGTTCATTGCTGTGAACATGTTTACTCTTCTACAGCAAGTCTCCATAAGGAAAATAGACATGACAGAAAAATATACATTCAAGCTGTGGTTTTTTCCTCTCTAAATCAAAAAAGTCATTTTATTCATAGAATGTGCTGTGTGTGATCAGTGATAGACACACTGACAAAGATCAGTCCATACCCTTGCAATAATCACTGCTGTGAATCTGCTGCTCTGTTCCAAAGGGGGGATGAATGCCTGAGACATTGGAAGGGGCTAAAGCACCGACTTGAGCCTGTGTACTTTGGAGAGAGAAGTTTCTTTGAAGGTGGTTATTAAGGCATTGTGAAGTAGTAAAAGCAAGCAAGCCTTTTGCACAAGTTCTTGAGGCATTTCCTAATATTCTTGTTACACTTAGTCCAAGCATTCAGGGGGCTGCTCAGTGGTGAGTGCCAAGGGGCACCAGTCCATGGGTGCCTTGCCTGGGCGTGCCGGCTCACGCCGCTGAAATYGGGGCCAGCAGCAAAGGTGCACCCGTGATGCTCTGTTGCCCAACCTGCGCTGCCTCTCGGCATTGCACAGACATGTCACTCCTCCTGGGACCTGTGGGATGCAATGAGCCTGCCTTCCAATGACCCCATTGATGCAGCGAGGCCTCCTGGAGAACTGGCTTTGAGGTGTGTGCCAGCCTTATCCCGAGCGGCATCCTCCGTGTGGAGGAGGGCATGGTGAAAGCCGCACGCAGGGATGCCGGATGCCAAATCAGGTGTGTGAAACAAAGCGCATTGCAGAAAGGTGAAACAAAGATGTGTCCGTGATACTTGTTTTCCACATATTCACAGCTGAAAGAGGAAATTCCAATGAATTGCTCCCATTGTGTCAGCGTTACCTGGTATCTGGATACCGGTACAAGACTATAATTAAATGTTGCCTTTCTGAGAATAAATGGTGTAGCAATTTAAGGATAAAAATTATATATATATAAAGTGGAATTATGAAGTGGAGGTTCCATGGTGATGCTGCTTTTTAAGGCATCTCTAAGCCCACGCACAGAAACACGTTGCTAATCATTGCAGTTCCTTCCTTTACTCATTATGATCCCTGAAAGAGCAGACAATAAAATCCTTAATAAGGGGAATCAACACAAATTAAAGAAGCAACGAAAAGTCATGTGGCATCGAAAAAGATACCATCTCCATGACAGGACTCTAATGCTAGAGGGGAAAAATAAAGAGAACTTAGAAAAAACATTCTAGCTCTATCATGTCCCACTTGCTATGAAGGACATCCTTTTAAATGCTACTTTTCACACTGCTTTACTACATTTATCTTGCCAACTCTCATACCATTTAGGTAATTAGTAAGTGGTGCTGACACACAATTCTGTAGCCACATGCTGCCTTTTTTCACTTCCTTTTTTCACTTTGGCATCTCCATGCCACTGTAGACCTAAAAAATTGCTCCCAGAATAAGGATGATTATGATTTGTAAGTACCAGATCTACTGCAGCCCCCTGAATGAATGTGTCTGTTACTTAGTACTGCATTCTAAACATGGTGTTGTGTTTTATGGTATTCTGCAGTATCTTCTACAATTACCTCTCTTGTATCAATAACTGCTTATAAAATTGAGAAACTAGGGACCCTTGAGTCACCAGCTGTTACRGGGCAGCTCAGTGGCAATACTCGGGTTCCTTTCACTGTGAGATAAGCTTATCAGTGCCACAATAAAGTAGGTATCAATGTGCCTTCTTGAAGAGCAAGGCAGGGGAAGATAACTTTTCCTTTAAAAGGAAAAGGTAACCACCATTGTTGAGCAGCTTCTTGAGGTGAAACACACTYCATATTTCAGGCAAATGTGTGCATTAGGGATTTGGGGAGAGGGATCCYTCACTCCTCCCATGGTGGGATGTAAGTGAGGTCTTGCCTACTATGGGCTTGGACAGGATGCTTGAAGGGAATTTTTTTTAAGTAGCTGTAATTGGTTGGCTGCTCTTTCAAGGATCTTATAACTGAAAGATCTGTTGCTTCCAGGAACTGCCTGTGCTACTGGGCTGTGATGAGGCCGAGGGCCAGCGAGGAACTTGGCATACCTAAGCACCCCTAAGCTCAAGACCATTGCAGCCAGCCCRGGTGCCAGGTGAGGTGCTGGCATTCCTGGTGCCTGTGCTGTAAMTTAACAGACCATTTCTGCCACTAGCTGCGGCACTCCCTGGCGAGTGTGTGCTGAGGGTCACTTCAGAAATGCCAGCAGATGGGAGATTAGAGCAGCAAGTTTCCCGCAGCCCACCCTGGGGTGTTTTCCAAGCCTTGGTTTAGGTTCTCCCCGGGGGCTGTCCCTGCCCGGGGGCTGTCCCTGCCCGGGGCATCGGCGGGCGGCAGAGCCGGGGGCGGCGGCGCGGCCCGTCCTGTGCCGATGCCGGGGGCGGTGGGGCAATGCAGCGCGGAGCCGGGGCCGGGGCCGGGGCCGGGSAGKGCCGCTGCCCCTCGGCGGGGCGGGCCGGCTGGCACGGCTCGGGGCCCCGCCTCTCCCCGGGCACATAAAAAAGCGGGCGGCCCTCGGGCCGGCTCCACACCGCTCCGCTGCTGCTCCCTCCCTCGGCTSTCTTCCTGCCGCCTCTGCTCCCCGGTGACCGAGGGCGATGGACGCCGGCTGTCTGCGGGCCCGCAGCCTGCTGCTCTTCCTCGGTAAGCGGCGAGGGGCTGCCCGCGGCCAGGGGCTGGGAYGGCATCGGGTGCTGGGGCAGGGGCATTCTTTGGCTGCTGGGAAATCTGGGTCAAAGCATAAAGTTCAGCTTACCTTCAGATGAAGCTGATGTGTTTCTCGCCGACATGAGGTCCCAGGCGGTGACAGGTATAGCCAGGTGGATTGTACGAGCTGTGGAGTGGAGCACACACCACACTCTGCGGTGTGCTGTTACAGGATGTTTTTTGCTTGTGTGATGCCCAGGTGGGTCCTGTGAGTGGGGGAAGATGAACATCCTTTCCCTTCTCCCCAGCTCTGCTCCCAGAGTCTGTTCTCTTTCACCTTGACCTGTCCTGTTTGTAGCCTGGTCCTCTCCCTTCACCCAGGCCATACTCTGGGTGAGCTCAGTGGGTGAATCCTCATAGCAGCAAAGACTTCCTTATGGTAACAAAACAGGTTGTGGCCTCCCTCTGCTTGACACTTCTCCACCTCCTCACCGAGAGCGTGTTACTCTCCTGTATGACATAAGCTCCCTGAAAGTCCCAAGAGAACACGTGTGTCCTTAGAGCATCGAGAGTCCTGGGGCCTGGGTGTGCTGTGATGCCAGAGCTGATCCTTGTCACACACCTCCACGGGGCTTCCAGTGACAGGTGGTGACTGCTGAGAGCTGACCCTGTTGGGCAACTTGAGCTGTGTGGGCAGCAAAGTTCTGAGAGCTGGCACACTCACACCTTGCTCTAATGACAGTGCATAWTCTCACACTCATGATGGTGGGCTCCAGGTTGTAGTTGATGGAGAAACTCCATTCCCAAGACTTCTCTTTTGGGACAGATGTTTTCCTCACCTGCTAAGACCACTGCAGTGTGAGTTTGTGTATTTTATCTTAGCCACGTATTTTCATCACAGCTGATGGATCGGCTGCTGCACAGCATCTCACTTGCCAGGACAGCAGGCTAAACACCTTGCAGTCTRTGAGTCAGCCATGCTTTGCACAAAACTGGCTCTGGAAAAAACTGGTATGTCTTCATGGATCTGTATATGAATTTATTTGTTTCCGGGGCAGGCACRACATCTAATAGTAAGGGATGGATTAGTCATAGCTAGGTGGCATCATAACAAGTGCTATGAGCACTTTACTGCCTTCCCCTCCCAGGGCAGGAGTGTAAGCAGAACTTGGTGCTTCTGGGAAGACTGTCACTGGTGTTATGCCAGACTGCAGGAGGTTCCCTGCTGAATGACTGAAGCCTTACTGAAGTAGCAGTCCTTGCCAGGTTCATGTCCTGGCTGTCGTGGGCTTGGAAACTGCACAGCAGAAAGGCACTGGTGGGAGACACTGCTGTGCCAAGCACGTGCTGATGTGGTGCTGATGGAGACAAGCCCAGGCCTTGACTTCTCTGGGAGTCACTGCTGAGCCTTGGCACTGATCTCCTTGTGCTCACTGTCATGGCCACACCGTGGGGCAGGCATTGGACCTCCAGACTCGCTGGGCAGTTCCAGCAACTGCTGAGCTCATGTTTTCCTGTGTCACATTTGCCTGGCTGTCAGCAGATGGGCTCAGCATAAAGRTCCTGAGTCTGAAGATGGGAAAAGTGTTAGTGGCTGATGTATCTGGCTGGAAGTAGTAATGGATTTTGGCTTTTGTGGCATAGGGCCCTCAGCCCCCATGCAAGGGGTGCACAGCAGAGTGATTGAGGCACAGGGGCAGCACGTGAGTAAGATCACTGGTGTGTAGATCTCCAGAGGGGTGGAAGCACTACTGGAATCATTGGGTGCACATAATGCACAATTATCTCTGTGTAAGGGTAATCCTGGCACAATAGTGGAGATGATTGTGTGGGCCTGTAGCAATTTTGGAGCATCGATCTTCTCATGACAGACTGGTGTTTCCAGGGCTGCCTTAGAGCAGCTGTGGCCTGATTCTGGACATGCCTGACTGTGAGTGTTCAGTTCTGGAATTGAACAGTGGTAGTAGGGATGTTCACAAAGCCARTGGGACAGACTGGCTAACTTCCATGTTCCCTGCCCAGTTTACAGAAAAAAGGCCTTTGACAGTCAAGATATGCATGCCCTGCATGTCCAAAGCCAAGTGAAAGGGGTGCACCGTGATCTGTCTTTGCAGTTACAATGGGCTGACATCCTTCAGGTGTGTGTCACTTGGGCACCTCTGCTTTGGAAGTGCAACCCATGCCAAGGGTACAGGTGCTACTGCTGTGGCAGAGAGACCACAGAGATGCCAAATGGGAGGTAGCATCCTTCGGGTGAATAAGACTGGCAAKCTCAGTGACAGACAAAGCCAACTCAAATAAGGATTGAGCTCTCAGAAACTTGACATTCCCCTAGTGCAAGTCCTCCAAAGAGTAGCCCTCAGTTTAGTGTATCCTGCATGTGCATCCCAAGCAGTCATCCTGCCAGTGTAAAGGACAGCTGGCTYTCAGTGGACAAACTGATGATCAGCCTTGCAGGTCACCTCTGATGGAGGCTGCAGGAAGCCAAGGCAGCTGGTCACTGGCCCTCACTTTCATGCCTCGTGGAAGGCCAAGTACACAACAGCATTATTGCTGTTCCAGTAAGTGCTGTCAGTGTTAGCCTCGCAGGAATACCCATGGTGCCAGATGGCATTATGTGTTCATGCAGTGGTGTAGGAATACTACATACAACACGCACATTCCTGCAAGACACACAGGAAAATCCACCACCTCATTACTGTTATCTTGTAACCTGTGTTTGCTTAATGAACAGCGAAGGAATAAAAATATAACCTCTCCCAGGTCCTGTGTTTGGTATACATCATCGGATAAATATCCCGGGAAAGGCTCTCCTTYGCCATTGCTGTGTGCGGATCCCTTATCCTCCCAATGATGTCAGACAGGAAATATGTGCATGGGGGAAAGGGCAAAAYAGAGCAGTGCAGAGCAGGAAGAACTTTGCCCAAAAGCAGCAAATACTGCTGGGTGTCAGCAAATACCCACACCTGCATTTCCGGCCCTGAATGCCTTCAATCAGGTGGAGGAAGCACGGGCACATGGCTGGCATTGGGAAAGCCCTCTTCCATTGGAGGACAGGGCTATTTTTAATTTGTCCCTCATAGATGTCTGATTTGTGGTCTTTAACTGGAAAGCAGTGCTTCCTTCTKGAGCCAAGAGGAGAGCTGAGCTGTCTCTTCCGTGGACCTGCGTTGGAGTTTGCTCCAATGCAAAAGCTGCATTCCGGTAACTCAGACTGGGAACTTCAGCTTAAAAAGCAGCTGCTCGGGTTATACTTGGGTCAAGGAAGTGTACAAACTGTGACAGAAATGTGTAGGCTACAGAGATCTTCAGCTGGCTTAATCCATCTTTTAACAAGTGGGTATCTGAGATACCTCAGGCATGTTTAGCCCCGGCTTTTGTTGGTTTCTGTCCTCATTCTGAGACACAGTGTATCCTTAGTGAGACACTGCTGTCCTGTGCACAGCTCCTCCCTGCCAAGGGAGCAGCTTCCTCCATGGAGCACTCCTGAAATGTCCCCCTAGTTCCTGGGAAGAACTGACTCTGTCAATCTTTTCCCAGCATCTTTTGGGACCCCAGATCCCTGGGCTGCCACTGCCTGACAGCTGATGGTCTCTTCTTTCACTCACTTGAACTCTCTGTTTTGACAACTCACACTGGCCTTCCAGAAGTGTCAAAACTGCTGCTGCTGAGGAAATCTACAGTAAGCATAGCACTGCTTAAAGAAAAATCCCACCCTGAAAGTAAACTTGCATGTCCTGCCCCACTGGAGGGAAAGGCAGGTCCTGCTTAGTCATGCTGGCAGGCACAGCAGTCTCCAGCTGGTACAGGTGCCAGCATCATGGATCTGCTACTTTGGCTCTRARGAACCTAGTCTTTGTTCTTTCTTCYAGAGCTTGSTGAAAATCTGGCTTATTAGCTTTGCAAGGAATSCAGTGTAGAGGGAGGTAAGAAGGAGGAATAATGCTTTTTAAAATGCAAACACGGGAAAAAACCCTGTCCGTCTTAGATATTCCCTCTGGTTTTGTTCCATAGTTGGAATGGAGGATAAAGGAAGCCTGCTAATCACCCAGAAATAGATGAGCTGCCGGAAATCCATAAATTACCACTACTAGATTGAACTCTGAGATGTAATGAAACTTTCTAATAACTGGAGTTGAATTAGAGTGATCAGGAAATTATGGAGGCACACTCCCTCCATTAGACATGCATGACCTGACAAGTTAATAGAGGCAAACAGCCCAAAGACACAAATTACAGACTTCCGTGGAATGGGGCTGATGACTAAGCAGTTCATGAGCAGGTTAATTTGTGACCACAGCAGGARTATTAGCCAGGTGGATTTCATGGYCACACATTCACTATWCCTCATGGGCTAGCCATGAGGCTMCAGRYACCTGTGCTGGCTTTCRAATCCCTTTTGGAAAAGTTCATTTARCTAGTGGGACACCTGAAAGCTGTGCCTATTTCTTCTGGTGTTCTTCTAAGTAACATGGCCCAAGGTCCATAAAGTGATCAGTAACCTGTCCAAGCCCGTGGGCGCATGAGGAGGGTTTTGTATCTCATGTTTGCAGCTTTGCAAGAGGCCTTTTAGCCAAGGAACTGCCCAAAGAGTGGGTGTTAGTGCAGGAACTGTCCATCCCTTCAGCTGACTTCAGCAATGAGAGGGCTGAGGAAGCTCTTTGCTGCTAAAGGGCAGCTTTTRTGTTAAGCCTGCCTTGAGCAGTTTGTGGGCTCTGAAGCCAGCGGTGGGTGCTGAGCRTGGCTCAGCACTGACCTGGTGTCCTGAGTCACCAACTGCACTGACTTGCAGATTCCTGGGGAATTCTCTTCCTGTGGTCTGTTGTGAGTCAAGGGCATCTTGATTTTCATCAGCAAAAGGACTCCTCCTATGATAAATGCTGGACTGTCATGCCTAATTGTGGAAGCCTGGCTATTTCCCTTGCACAGGTACCATGCCAGACCAGTCAGAAACCTAACATAATCATCAAATGGCCTAATTCCTGCCTCTCCCCCGTAATCTCTCCAAGCTTCTTCCTGCCCAGTTTCACTCAGAGTGTGGGTGAGAGGTGGTCACAGACACCAGCTTTCTGTTTAATCTCCRTTCTGCATTTTAAGTTTGTATTCCAAAGATGTTTCTTTGGGCTGCCATGTATAATGTAGGCAGCAGATCAWTCAGACCTGTATTTTTTTCAACCCCAGGTCATGATAAGCTTCTATTCTTCTTGTATTAATGAGTACAGCATCTTTGCTCAAAATACATCTAGTTTTGACTATTGTTTTCATTCTCTTACAGGTTACCTATTGCAAGCAGTCCTGRGCACAACAGTGATCCCATTATGTGGGCCTGGTGAAATGGAGAACTGCACAACAGCACTCAGTAAGTACTACACAGCTCTTTGTACATAACAAATCTTTGTTCCTATCTTCCTTGGGCTGGCAGKCTCACTGAGRTGTCCAGTGAGAARAAATTT